TACATTTATTGTTTACACCTTTTTGCTTTTCCTTTCTGTGCCCAACAGGAGCTGGGATATCCTGTTTCTTGAGTCAGGCTTCAGAAAAAACTGTCTTTTACGCTTTAAATACTGCAGCTTAATAGAGGGAGAATCATTAGACCCCTCTTGCCTGCTCACATATTTTATAATGCATGCTTAACAAATGCCTAATAATAAAAAAACATTAGAGGTGTTTTCATAGGCTGAATAGTTCTCCCTGGAATAATAACTTGACTTTGATATATAGCATTGGTGCTATGGGAAATCTTATTGCTGCACAATACTATAATATTCTAGACAATAGTGTGCTTTAAACCTTTTGTGGCACAAGTTTAAGGACATTTCTCGCCTTGTTTAACCCCAAACAAAAGCCTTATAGTGCATAAAGAAAGTGTTTTCCTTGTTTTATGTGGAAGAACTTAACGGGCCTGTCCGAGCTGAGATTGTTGTTCAGCGATAATGTAGATAAGGATGGTTGGTTTAGGCAAAAGGCTGTAAGGTCTCTGTGTATATGTGTTTAATACTTTGTTGTTTTGTGGCTGTAGACCTGTCTCTGGTCAGATTTATAACGACTGAGCTCACCAGAGGCTACTTCCTGGAACACAACGAGGCCAAATACACAGAGCGCAGAGAGAGGGTCTACACCTGCCTCCGCATCCCCAAGGAGCTCGAGAAGGTAAACACACAAACAACACAAACAGACACTGTGGGGGAATGTTTGAAAAGTCCCAGATAAATAAATATCCCCCCTCTTTATTTTCATTCTCTCTCTTTAGTTGATGACATTCGGCTTCTTCCTCTGTCTGGATGCCTTTCTCTACGTGTTCACCCTGCTGCCCCTCAGGGTGATTCTGGCCCTTTTGCGGCTCCTCACGTTGCCTTGCTGTGGCCTCAGGTAAAGTATATGCTGAGGTATTAGGGATGCAAATGTAAATACATGTTTTTAGTTGATCATTAGCCATGTTGACTAACAATATTTGACTAATAAAAGCATTTCCTCAATATAGATTTGAATTAACATCCCCCCCCCAAAAGTTAATATATCTGAAAGGGTATTTTTATTGCAGAGCTGCTGTATTAGATTGCATTCTTGTGTGTTCAGCGATGTTCAGATGTTTCTATTGATACATAACAACTGAAGATTGTTTTAGTTTACTTGTTATTTTACCTTCTATTTTCTTTGTTTGGCCTATAAAACAAATCACGTTTCTAGAGCCCTAGGTTAACGTCTTCAAACTGGTTGTTTTGTCTGACCGACAGTACAAAGATATTCAGTTTATTATACTGTACGACAAGGAAAAGCAGCACATAATCATATGAAAAACTGGAACCATCAAATGTTTTCACATTTTTTCTTTTAAAAAATCACTTAAACGATTAAGAGATTAGCAATAAAGTTGCAGATTAACTTTTTGTTGATCAACTGAATGTTTAAGCACTTGAAGAAAGTCTGAATGTGTTTGTACATCTTTACAAACTAGAGCTAAAATGATCAGTTAATCAATCGTTTGTTGGTTAAACAGAAGAACTATCGACAACAATGTTGATAATCGATTGAATCAAGTGGAGTCGAGATCCTTCAGGTCATTTATCGAGCAATAAATTCTAATATTCTCTGGGTTTCACCCTCTCAAATGTGAGGATTTGCTTCTTTTCTGTATTTAACAAAACACCATAAACACTATAAAATCTTTGGGTTTTAGACTCCTTGGTTGGATAAAACAAGCAATTTGAAGATGCTCTGGGAAATTATTGTTTTATTTTTTTACTGTTCTCTCACATTTCATAAACCAATGATTCATCAGTAAATTAAAAAAATTAAGTTATATAAGCAAATAATGTAAATAATTTTGCAGCCTGGTCACAGACTGAATAATACATACAGATTTGGTATTATCATCACATGTCAATGTCCACATTTGTAAAGGGAAACAACCAGTGCAATATTGTTTTTAACCCCTAGATAGCAGTAGAGCTCTCTCTGACTTTGTTCAGATTAAGCAGATTATAACAACATGTTCTGTTACTCTGTTGTTTCTCCTGTGACGTTCTTCTGTAAAAACATTTCTTCCATGTGTAATTTGTGTGTTTTAGTGGCTCCCGCCTGCTCCAGCCAGCCCAGGTGTGTGACGTGCTGAAAGGCTTCATTATGGTGCTGTGTTACTCTATGATGAGCTACGTGGATTACGCCATGATGTACCACCTGATCAGGGGACAGTCTGTCATCAAACTGTACATCATATACAACATGTTAGAGGTACACTTATAATAATAATAATAATATTTATAACCCTGATTGTGCTCCTACGGTTAGTCACTAAATCTTTCGCACTCTTGCCCCCTTCCCGTCCTTCCCCTGTTGTATCAGGTGGCGGACCGCCTGTTCTCATCATTTGGCCAAGACATCCTGGACGCTCTGTACTGGACCGCCACAGAACCAAAGGAGAAGAAGAGAGCACACATAGGCGTGATCCCTCACTTCCTCATGGCTGTGCTCTACGTCTGTATCCTCACTGAGAAGGACCTGTGATTGTTGTTTATCTGTGTGCCTGTGTGCACGAGTTAACAAAAACCAGAGGTCAGAAAATGGTTTAATAAAACACAGACCGCTTAGAGCTGAAACATTTAGTCAAAAAGTCGATTGACAGGAAATTAATGGACAATCATTTTGATGTACTATAAATGGTTTTAAGTATTATTTTTTTATTTATAACAGTTGCCATGTTTATTGTTTATTTAAGGATCCCCATCAAAAGCACATGTATGTGCCTCTAGTCTTCCTTGGATCTAAAATAGAAACATACAATAAGAAAATACAAGCAACCTAAAATATAGAAGTACTAGGCAAATCTACTAATGAGTTGAGACACGAATAGAGTAATAACAAACAACAATGCAATTAACATAAAAATAAAGAGAGAAAAGGGATGACATTTAAAATGTTCAGCACGTTTTGAAATAATTGGCGGATGATCTTCTTGGTGTGGGTGAAAAAGAAGAAAATGTCTCTAATCTAGGAATGATGGGTAGGTGTAAATACCAAAATTTCCAGCTTCTCAAATCTGAATTTTTACTGTGTTTTTCTTGTCTTCTGTGATAGTAAACTAAATATCTTCTGGTGTTTGGGTCTGTTGATTTGAAGATGTCAAATTTTTAAATTGTTAGAGGTAATTTTTACTGTTTGTTGACATTTCATAGACATAATGAGTCAATATAAGTAATGAAATAATCAGTAGTTGTGCGTTTTTACTTCAGACTAGTAGAACTTGCCTATTAGTGGGTGTACAAGAGCATTAACACACAGTAAGGTCTTCATTACTGTAATCCTCAGTGTATTTTCCTCAGCAATGTTCGTATCTAGTTCTCCATGCCATCCTCATCATGGTTCAGGCCACCACTCTCAATGTAGCCTTCAACTCCCACAACAAGTCCCTGCTCACCATCATGATGTCAAACAACGTGAGTACAACGCACACAGACACGTTTAACTCAATTAACAGTGCATCCAGCATCAGTTCAGCTGTGATATTTTGGTTCTTTTTCTTTCGCAGTTTGTGGAGATCAAAGGAAGCGTGTTCAAGAAGTTTGAAAAGAACAACCTTTTCCAGATGTCAAACAGTGGTAGGTGGCGATTGATACCTAAAACAGCCAAACATGAGCCCGAAAATCCGCCGTGTGTGGACGTTTTGTAACTCGGGCCTTTGAACTTGGTGATTTAGTAGAAGGTAAATTTATGGAATCGAGCTCAGCCGCAGTGAGTACAAAGTAGGTTAATCCAGGATTGATTTGTTTGTTTCCCACAGACATAAAAGAGAGGTTCACCAACTACATCCTCCTGCTCATCGTCTGTCTGAGAAACATGGAGCAGTTCTCGTGGAACCCTGGTAACTAACACAGTGCTGTACAGATAATGTGACATTACTGACATTTACACAGCCAGTTTATCTATATGACAGCTAGACATCACATCACACTGCTTCTCACTCGTACATCCTTCTTAGTGAGGCTCTACAGTGAACTGTTAAAATCAGTGAACTGACTTTTTATAGCTAATATACTTAATATAAAGACTGATGGGTTTCATGTGTTTGTTTTTAGACCACTTGTGGGTGCTGTTTCCTGACGTAGTCATGGTGATAGCCTCAGAGGTCGCCGTGGACGTTGTCAAACACGCCTTCATCACCAAATTCAACGACATCAGTGCTGATGTGAGTCCTTCTTTGCATGCAGTGCTTTCACAGTGTATCCATAAAGGTTGTGGTGCAGTGGGTGTCCTGGGGAGTGTGACAGCCAAAGGAACAAACCACCACAAAGAGAACATTTAAATTTCACAAACTAATCCAATTCCAGGTCCATTTATTGCCTTTTTTCCAGTTCTTTAAAACCACATCTTACAGTCACAGTGAATGGACTTGGTTGTTTTTTTTAATCCTTTTTTAATTTACATGCCTTGTATAGTGTTTTTCATTATAATAATTAATTAATTAAGTACTCATGGACGTACAGACAACTATCACTGGGTTACTTTGACAGTGAAGAAAACTTAAAACATGATTCACGTGCAGCTCATGTTCTGGAGCATCTTATTTCCTATTATTTTGTGATCCACTGTGTGAACATTTATTTGCAGTGGACAGAGAGATACTGACTTAGTCTAAGTCACACTATATTTAGAAATGTCTCTGTGTTAACCTTTGACTGAGTTATGACCCTGTGAATGAGTGCAACTGTGGCAGTGACTGTGAGATGCAGTCGAAAGCTCAGGAAAAAACTAATTAGTGGACCTTGTGTTAGGATTATCTTTAAGCTTGATTTTCCTTTTTCTCTGTTCTAACCTACTTTACTGATTTACACTTACAAATGTTTCTTGTGTTTTGTGTTCTTTCTCACTTTCTCACACACTCACTCCAGATACACTGTAGTTTCACAGGGGAACTGTAGTTTTCTCCTGTTTCATCATGACTTTTGTTGGCGTTCCACCTGCTTCCGCTTTGTTTTCTTTTTCCCTTTGATTTCCTTCGAGGAGTTGTAACTTTGGTTACGTAACAGAAACCATCTCCACAGGAAGGGATTAACCCCTTTATCTCCAAACTGTCAAAACCTAGATCAGCACACGACCCTCACTCAACACGTAAGTTTGGCCAGTCAAGCACTTGTGGTCTCCATTAAAGCTGCTGTAGGTAACTTTTATAGAAATAACTCTTTGTCATATTCTGTCACTATATTCCTGACTGTAGTGCATGAGATAGATAAAAAAAAGTCAGGTTCCTCTGGCTCCTCCTAGTGCCCCTAATGGCATTTGTAATAATCCACTATGTATGAAAGAAAACAACCAATCAGAGCCATGAGGAGTCTCCCAACACAGCGTCGATCAATGCTTGTGCTCCTGATGCAGAGCCCCCCGCTCCTCCACACATGCTTTTGCTTCAGGAGGAGCTTTTCAAACACAGAAACAACCACCAGCAATGAAAA